TGTGCACCTGATAATAATAATCAATTATATACTGAAGTAAATGATGCAGATTTAATTTTTCTCATTACTTGCTAGCTTCTCCAAAACCGTTTATTTTTTCCTATGTGACTGAAGCAAGGACATTCATATTTTTTATCAAAGACTGGGTTGTGAAACTTGGGTCTTTACAGTCATATGCACCAGTGGTGAAATTCATTTTTTTACTACTGGTTCTGTGGGCGTGGTTTGGTGGGAAGGATATTGCAAAATCTCTATTCCCACCCCACTCTGGAACCAGTCAGAGGTGGTATTTGCTGGTTCTCCGAACTGCTCAAAATTTCCGCTACCAATTCTCCAGAACCTGGTTGTGGTTCCTCATTCATTGTGGTTCCTCACAATGAATGAGTAAGGATTAGATATCATCTCTTCCACTGTGTAATCAGATCCTTTAAAGAGGTAACCCACTTTGTGGTATGCCAAATCCCATGGAAGGAGCCATCCATATTTTTAGATGCTGCTGGAATCAGATAGCAACTATGTCCAAGGGAGTCACAGAACAGCAGGTAGCAATCATCGTAGTATAATTATTGGAGCTATAGTCTCACATTTGAGGGGGGGGGAATCAGCTTCAGGAAAGCTGAATTGTAGAAGTATATCTCAGTATATGAACTGGAATCTGCAGCAAAAGTTGTCTTTTTACAGTGACTGAAAGAAAGTTCAGTTTTAATCCCAAGTTATTGTTAGTCATCCAAGTGTTTTGGCAAGGAAGACATCATAATCTCCAAGGGCTGCTTGGGATTTCTTTGCCAATGAACAATGGGTATTTTTATGTGCCCTTTCTTGCAATACAAATGAAGCTTTTTCAGAACTGCAGACAGGTGTATCAGGAAATAAAGAAGCAATTCAGAAAAATCATGTTTTCAGATCCTCAGATCCATAAACCTATAGTCAGAAAGTTTGACAGGGATCATGCTACAGTAAAACAACAACAACATTCATACAATCTCAGATTCTTAATGGTTTAAACCAAGGTTTCCAAAACTGTGAGGTCTTGAGAAGGTGCAGACAGAGTACAGGATAAGCGTGAATATTTTTTTTTATGAGTTTATTAAAATAGCATTTTTATTGTCTTTTTCAGAGGTGGGTTACTCCCACTTTGGCTCAGATCAGATGAACCGGTAGTAGCGGCGGTGGGAGACTCCACCCACTCACCTGGTCACTTCTGCGCATGCGCAAAAGCTTCGTGGGCACAAGTGTGCCCAAACCAGTAGTAAAAAAATTGGTAACCCACCACTGGTCCATTTATATTCATTTTGGTGTGTGGATATTTAGGGGAGGTATATACATTATGGTTACGATAAAGGGAGGTGTGATGGCAAAAAATTTAGCAACCCCTAAACTAACATGTAAAATGTGATTTTACTGAAAGTATGCCATATGTATTAAATTGCAAATCATTTCAAATTTAACTTTAGCAACAGTCCATTGAAAGGTCCAAGATTTTATTCTTAATCTTAACCAGCTGGAGGACAAGAATAGACAGGTTTCTAGTAAACTATTGGAGAGAAGAACATTGCTAAAATACAGGTAGTCTTCGACTTATGAGCAAAATTGAGAATTTCTGTTGCTAAGCAAAACAGTTGTTAAGTGAGTTTTGTCCCATTTTACAAACTTTCTTGGCACAACTATTAAGTGAATCACTGCAGTTACTAAGTTAGTAAAATGGTTGTTAACTGAATTTGGCTTTACCATTGACTTTGCTTGTCAGAAGGTCACAAAAGATGATCACATGACACCGGGACACTGGAACTGTCATAAGTAGGAGTGAGTTGCCAAGTATCTGAATTTGATCATGTGACCCTGGGGAGGCTACAACGGTCGGGTGAGAAATGATCATAAGTCACTTTTTTCAGTGCTGTTGTTAACTTTGAATGGTCAGTAAACAGACTGTTGTAAGTGTGCTGATTTTTCCTTCCAATTGCTTCTTCTAAAGAACAACTACTACAGTTTTAGAAATAGGGCAGATCTATAGAGAAAAAGGATACAATCCTATTGGTTTTCATCTTCTCAGTTCCCAATGCTCCAATCTTTTCTCTTATGCTAGTAGCGGGGGCACCTGGGCACCAGCCGTTCAGAAGACAGAATCAGTTGGTTGATTGTTGGAGGTTCTGACCCATTTTGGTTGCAACATCAGCAGAAGCCAACATTACAATTATAGCTAATTCCCCACTGATATTATTTTTTTAAAAAACATGCACCAACATTCCACTGATATATTAACTATGAAATGTCCCTGTTATGTGATGATGCTCAAAGGCTGCTCCAGTTTGCAACCACAAGGACAAAAGCAATACAGCTGATGTGGATTTATATTTAATGAAACTCTCTAATTCCCTTTCCTGAGTATCACATGTGCGAGCCACGTGTGAGTCCTCTACTGCAGTGGTCTCCAACCTTGGCAACTTTAAGACCTGTGGACTTCAACTCCCAGAGTTCCTCCTGGCTGAGGAACTCTGGGAGTTGAAGTCCACGGGTCTTAAAGTTGCCAAGGTTGGAGACCACTGCTCTACTGCAACTGTTGAGTAAGTTAAATAAAATGCGCAAATGCAATTCATAAGGGAAAGTCCAAATAGGACAGTATGTATGTATGTATGTATGTATTTATGTATGTATGTGTGTGTGTGTGTGTGTGTGTGTGTATATATAAATAAAACACACACACACACACACACATATATATATATATATGTGTGTGTGTGACTAGTATAGATCTATTTCAAGCTATATATATATCTCAGATTGCACTGTTGATCACATTGGGCTAGAAGGAGAGATGAAGGACTTGTTTCTTCTTATAGCCCTAGAGAGCTCATATATCTCATGTAATTATCTTGAAGCTGTATACAAACAACACAATTAAAATGACTAAATGCCATAATAATCTGATAGTGAATTTACATTAAAAAAAACATATGTATTAAAAAGAGATAGAAAGAACAGGAGAAGCAAAACTAGAACAGTGAAGAACAAAATAATGCAACAGCATTGTGGTGAAATGACTTATCTAGAGATTGCATTGTACACTTCAGGCAGGTATATCATAGCAAAAGTGGTCTACCAGATTGCTTAGGCCCCATGTATCAAAACTGGAAGCCTGAATTTGGTACAGGGCCTATTATCAGGACACAGTGTATACAGCAAGAGGCCCCACTCAATCACTTCACTGCCACTTTCTGGACCAGCTGAAGCTTCTGGATCAATTGCCATCATATAATGCATCAGTAGTCTAAATGAAAAGCACCCACATAAATCACTGCTATGCTATCCCTATTCAGGAAAGGTATATCCAGAGGTGAGCTTCAAAAATTTCAGTAACGGGTTCTCTGTCTGGTTGCTGGGTGGGCATGGCTATGGTAGGCATGGCTTATTCGTCCTCCTGCGCCATGGTAGAGGCAATGTTTTCACCTTCCCCTGGCTCCGAAGGCTTTCCTTGAGCCTCTGAGAAGGCAAAAACTGCCTCCACCGAGCTCCGGAGGCCCTCTAGAAGCCGGAAATGGGCCCATTTCTTTTGGAACTCCAGGAGTCCCATTTCCCTTTTTCCCCGAGCCTCCACACAGGGCCTGCACTTACCTCGCATCCAAAACAAGCCTCTTGGAGACTCCTGGGAGGGGGTGAGATGGGGTGGGCGGGGCCAGCCAGGGGTGGGATTTGGGAATTCTCTGAACCGGCCATAATATTAGCTACGGGTTCTCCCAAACCTGGGCGAACCCATAGCAGCCCACCCCTGGGTATATCTATGCAGGAAAAATCATAGCAGATATGGCCCGCTGAAGGCGGTTGACTAATTAAAACTTAATTACATATCACCCACCCCAGTGTGTCTGGCTCCCTCCTTTGCCATCTTTTGTTAATGGTTTTATCTGCTGTGTTATTTTATAATTGATGGTTTTAATGTTTTTGTGTTGTAAGCCACCCAAAGCCATTGGATAGATGATGGGAGGCAAATAAATTCTATAATAAATAAAAATAAAATAAAGATATACCAACTGAAGTTGGCAATTAATGCTCTTGGCAATATGGTGCTTTAATTGAATGTTTCTAAGCAGCCTAGAGTAACTTTGGAGGAGTGGTGGGATTCAGCCAGTTCGCACCTATTCAGGAGAACCGGTTGGTAACTTACTAAGCAGTTCTGAGAACCGGTTGTTGGAAGAATTCTCCTTTTGTTTTTTTCCACTTTACAGGGCTAATCCTGTAAGGAAGGCAGGAAGGAAACATTCTGGTGTTGTTTCTAGCCTAATCTTTATTGCCCTGCTTACAGAAACTGCCTCTCCGGTTAACCCTTATTACATTGTAACAGCTAAGGCGAAGCATCCATCGACCTGAGTGACCTTGAGTTGGCCACACCCACCCAATCACATGACCACCGAACCCCACCTACCCAGATGGTCATTAGGGAAGAGAACCGGTTGTTAAATTATTTGAATCCCACCACTGCTTTGGAGGGATAGGAAGCAAATAGATTTGATAAATTAAAAAAAATAACATTTAGGGTTCTGCTGCAAGTGTTTAAAATACAATGAGAAAATTGCTATTCAAATACATTAGTTAAAACAAAAGCCATTCATGCTAGCACTGATGATATTACCTAGTTGGCTAATAAAACATATGCAAGAAAACCATCAAGCCCAGGGAGCACCAAGAACTACCCAGGTCAACCCTTAGTTACAAATATTCTCTTCTATTGGTAAAGCCATTTATATATTGTATTGGATTGCATTAGATTTTGCATTTTTATAAAGCATTAATTGGAATTATCCTTAAATGTTAACTTACTTAGACCAAGGTATCTGTGACAGAAGCCAATTTATACCCATTAAGGTGATGCTTGATTTATAGATTCATAGAACCACATTAGAACATCTGTCTCACAAGCTGAAAAATATTTATAGGATATTAAAACTCACTGACTGCTAACAATCCTAGCAATTAAACATTTTAAAATACCATAGGTCTATTTTTACCTGTTTCAGCCATACATTAGTTGTCATTAACTGTTTTTTTTCATCCTGTTGGATAAGAGGGGGGAAAACAGCAAGTCATTTATTTTTATTTTCTTTTAAATATCCCCTACACACCCCAGGGAGTCAGCTACATTTTCTGATGATATTTTGTTTCCCAGGAGGAGCCCTATGTAAAATAATTAAACTTGAATGCTTTAAGATTGCTATTTGTAGGTAAGGATAGAAAAGGAGGGTAGAATGACTTTACAACTGTTTACCTAATTATTTGATTCAGAAGTAGGATTACTAGAGGCCTTCTGCAAGAGGAGAATAGAGCCTCCATTTTGTCCTTGTGTCCTCTATCCAGCAAACATTGTCAAATATCGTTGGGGTTTTTGAGTATCTAACAAGCTTTCTTCTCCTAAGCAGTTTTTCTCCATCACACAATCAATTCCTTAATCAGTTAACTGCAAGTTAAGAAGCTCAGTTCTAATTAGCTGATTAATTAGTTGATTACCACCCTCCCCCTCCTGCCTGAAAGTGGCAAGACCTTAATCAACTGTACCCTGAAGGCCTTTGTCTTCTGAACAGCTCTAGCACATTTCTAAGACTGGAAAAACAGTATTTCTCGTACTGGAAAGGTACTCTAATTGCATATACATGTAAGTTTACCTATTTTCTTTTTCAGTTTTCAACTGTGATTTTTGTTGTAGATACCAAGAAAGTTAAACTATTGAAAACTGTTGAAAATTAAACTGTTAGCATGCTTTCCTTTTCTTCCTTTCCAATTCTCTGTGTCCTCTTTTGTCTCTTGAGATATCTAGTAATCCTATTCAGACACCACCATGATCTCCGTGCTACCCTACATCCAGGGGTGGGTTCCAGCAGGCACTACTGCCGGTTCACTGCGCTGCCTGCACATGCACAATGCAATTAAAATTGTTCTGCGCATGCGCAGAACCAAAAAACAAGATGGCGGCACCACTGGTGCTGCCCGGGGAACCAGTTTGGGGTCATGGCCAGTTCCAGCGACCCAGGCTGCCAAACCACTACCAGTTCAGCCGAACTGGTCCAAACCGGTAGGAACCCACCACTGCCTACACCATGACACCTAAATCATATGTTCCCTGAAGTAAAACACCTCATCATGAAAGTTGCTCTGGAGTCTTTTATAGCCATGTGGCTGGAATAAATTCAGCTGTTTTGGCTTTGCCCTTCCCTGTGACAGGCAGGGGCTCCAGACTAGTAACTGGAAATCTTGAAGCCCAAGGCTATCACATAACCAAGGCATATTCCAAGTTTTCAATTATAGAAGAAAACATAGGATGCTACAGCAAGCAATTCCCTCTGGATTGAGAAGCCTAGAGTCTTTATCTTAACTGGGCTGACCAACAGTCTTTAGGCTCCAGTTCTGGCAAATTGTAGTGTCTGATTAGCTACAACTAGAGGCCCCATGACAGGCCATCACATAAGCAGGCGCTCAAGGCCATTTTCACTTCCGAAGATATAATACCAAAAGGTAATCAGTAGCTACAGGGACTAGTAATCTTTCTATCTGTGGTGTCTTTCCAAGTCAGTCTTTACTCTTGCTGAACATACAGACAAGTCCATGAAGTTCAGTGATGAAATCAAATTTTTTTTGCCACCAGTTCTGTGGGCGTGACTTGGAGGGGTCATGTGACTGGGTGGGCATGCCAACCTTTTTTCACTTTTTAAACCATTTTTTTCCTATTCGAACTGGCAGGAAAAAAATGCTTTAAAAAGTTGGGGGGGAGCTTCCGACGATCACGTGGATCAGCTGTAAGCCATGTGATCCTCGGAAGTTTTTTTTTTACTACCGGTTTGCAGAACCAACAGCAATTGTCTTTACCGGTTCAGCTGAACCAGACCAAACTGGGAGGATTTCACTCCGATGAAGTTTCTTGGCAACATTTCCAGAAGTGAGTTGCTACTGCCTTCCTCCTAGGACTGAGAAAGAATGATACCACCAAATGGCTCTCATTAACAAACTTATCCTCCATTAATTTGTCTAATCTCCTTTTAAGCCTACCTAAAGTGATATATAATCAAATTCCATAGTTTAATTACATGTCCTCTTTTTTCTGTTGTCCACTTTTTGACCACTCAGCGAATTACAGTATTCCAATTCTTCTAATAAGGCCTGGAAAGGAAATTTCCCTGACCAATTTCTGTATTATTTAACATTAGATCCTCCTATTAGATCCTTGCTGCATTTCAGGCAGCAATTTCTACATAAATGCATAATTTTATGTTTGAGTTTTTATGTTTATGATTTTTTTTCTTCAAGCTTAAAGTCAACATTATAAGATTTTCTAATAAACGAATGGTTTTACTGACTTCATCATTCTAATAGGATGCTTACTTGGTATTTTTTCCAAATTCGTAAATGCATTTAGGTTTCAGTGGCTAAGACAATATATAGTATTTCCCTAAATACAGCATTTGCTCCAAAACATTATAATTACAATTTTATTTTAAATTTGTTCCCCAATGTGAAATTTGCATTATCAGAGCAAACTGCCCATTGGATCTATGTTTTCATCAAAATATCTAACACAGCCTGGATATTTTTTAATTCAATTATTTTTAACTTAAACATTATGTACCTATATAAGAATGTTATATGAAAGTTAAATGGGAATTTCTGGCTTCTTTTTATAGATATTTACATTGTTTTAACTATTCTAAGTAACAGCAACTGTGAGCAAAGCTGAACATCTATTTTATGAACACATAGGACACCAGCCTGCTCAAACAGAAGTTACTCTCCTTTTTCACCTCTGTGTTCTCTCTCTTGATTAATAACTTAAGGTAAACACTTAAAATGTGGGAAATAATTTATCTATTGTCAAATATCACTGAACAACTATTAGCAGATCAATTCAGGAGATTCAGTACCAGAAATAAAATATCCAGGGATGCAGAACTGGAAGAGATTCAGAAAAATTGCAAAAATGGAGGAGCTAACAAAAGGAGGAAAAAAACTCAGATAATAATTGCAAATATAAAGGAAAAAGATAATATGAGCTACAGAAATGATAACTTAGAATAATAGCAGAACCAATACAGGCCTACACAGAAACATATATGAACTTATTTCCCAACTCCACCAACAAGAAGAATTAAAAGAGAAGATTATGATAGATGCAGAATTACTAAAAAGACTAAAAGCATTGAAAGTAGTGCCCCCAAAAGACCTGGCACCTATACTGAAGGACGTGAATAAGATAATGGTAAGGATGAAAATACCATTCATCAAACCAACCAATCCGCTTGGTACAGCAGTGGTCATTACAGAAAAACTGGGTATTGAAATTAGAAAACCAAAAGCAAAACCATACTCAATCCCAAAGTGAATCAGACTGGAGTCCAAAATAAAGAAATTAAGATCAGATGCGATTAGTAATTTAAAGAACATAAGAGTGAAAATTGAAGAATGTAGAAAGCAAGATAAGCTTAATTTAAAAATTGGCTTAATACTAGAAAAATCAAAGAAGCTTTGGAAATCATAAAGTAACAAACACCACCAATAAAAGGAATTGATGTGACAATACCAGGGGATATTAGAATAGAAGACAAAGAATTACAGAAGGTGACGAAGTATCAAGATCTGAAAATCAAAATTGAAAGACTATGACATAAACCAGTCGTGGTGGTCCCAGTGTTTATCAGCACATGGGTGCCAAGCCCAAAAATTATTGAACAGCATTTAAAAAATATGTGTATTGATAATTACAAAAGGCCACACTGCTTGAATTTATACATGTAGTATACTATGCCAATACACCATCACCTTGGGAAGGACTTGGTAGATGGATAAAAATGCTAAATCCAATCTGAACACCTGGCTGACTGTGCAACGAACCATAGAAATACACACCTTCATAAAATCTTTGCAAAATAAACTGTAATTTTTTTATAGGGCTGCAAGTATAATCACATTTTTTTTTAAAAAAATGCATTTGTATGTATAATAATAAAAGATCTGTATTGTCTATGAGATATGGAAGATGTGTTTATACCAGCAGTGGGATTCACTTACCTTCCCTACCGGTTCACAAATGTGAGCGCACACACCACCTTCTGCACATGCGCACTGCCTGCTGTGCATGCGCAGAAGGTCACGCATTATGTTGGGCAGGTGAGTAGAGCCTCCCATGACTGCCGCTAATGGTTCACCCAAACCAGAGAGAACTGGCTGAATACCACCTCTGCTATATACCCTTTGCAAGCGGATGTACACACACAAGCACATGCCTGAACAAAGAGTGAACTCTGAAGGTTCCAGGTTATCCTGGTAAAGAACAATTGGAAGAAATGATCAAAGGATAGAATAGCATGGCTGAAGGCCCCAAGATATTTTATTATCCCACATAGTTTATATATTCTGGCCCAAAACGTTATGGAAGCACATACCAACAAACAGAAAAAAATGAAGAACTTTGCACACTTTAAGCATCAGCTATGCTTCGTAAGAGTCACATATCTTTCAGATACTTTATCTTTATTCCTCAACTGCCACTCTTAAGACCATCTCCCTGCATGCTGGTTGGGGATTTCTGGGAGTTGAAGCCCACAAGTTGCCCAATTTGGAGACCCTGCCCTAAAGCAATAAGGGTATATTTTGCTCTCCTTCTGTAGCTTTATTCAGCTTGGATTTGAACTCCCATAACCCCTAATCAGTATAGCTGATGGCTATTTGAAAAAATAGCCAGTCCTATCACATTCTGCTAATTAAATATAGGGGGGGAAACAATTTCGCTGTTGTTAAATGTTTAAAAAAAGCTATTAACAAGATTGGTAGAGACAAACAGGAACAGGAATATTCCTTATCAAGGGAGATAATGTGACTGCGTCTATCAATGAATGTCAGAAAAAAATAGTTTAAAGATTACCTACCACATCTACAAGCTGAGAGATCTTCAGTCCAAAATATACCTTTATAGTATCATTAGCATGTTTTACTGGCCTGATCCATTTCTGATATCCACGAAACAAGTGTCGCAAAAGAGCATCTTCATTCTCAGCAAATGAGCTGAACACAGTAAAAGCTAAAAGAGAGAGAAAGGGGGGGGGGGATAACTAATGGGAGCTATCATATAAAAAAATTGCAATAGCCAAATTAAAATCATAGACACATCATATACATGTTGTTCTAGACGCAGAGAGAACATCTAAAAAAAAACCAGTTAGCCAATGGCATAAACATTTCTTTCAAGTCTAACTCCAATGGGAACTTTTGAACCATAAATAATTTAACTAGCTGTGGAAGGGACAATTTAAATGTATGCCATATAATTATTACTAATGTAAGAATGACAGTCAGAACAATGTAGAATGCAAAATGACAGCTTGAACAGAATTAAAAGTCTATGGCAATATATAAATGTTAGTACATGGACTATATATAAAAAGAAACAGTCTGGACTTATTTTCAAATGAAAGCAATTTTAGGAAGAAAAACAACAAAACCAGTGCCTCCCACCTCTAGTTTTAAAACACTGTTCAGATGACAGGACTCTTGCAGTTTTAACAGTTGCCTAAGAGTCTATTTTTAGTTTTTAGCAAACTGTCATATTGTACAGAGAACAGCCATAAACAACATTATTCCTCCCTAAGCACCTAGAGTACCTTATTCATAGAAGAGAACGCAAAAAACTTTATGCTACATTGGGATACTTTTATAAAGAATCCTTTACTAAGCAGGTTTACATGTTTGCCTAAACGTTGTCTTTTAACCCATCTCAGTTCTTGGGGTCCTAGGTCAGAAACTGTGGTTTGCAAATCCCAGTGGCTAAGTGGCTATAATACAAAATAACTGATCTTGTTGTGTGCAAATCCAGTCATTACGTTTAGGGTTCAGAGATGATTTCCGGTGACTGAAAAGTTGAGTGGATTGTTTCGTGTAATGAACTGTGAGAATAACCCTGAGAGACAGGAGGAAGAGCTGCAGCCAGGGCAACTGTGAGACAAGAGATAGCTCAGTGCACATAAGGAATTGGAGGTGGAGAAAGCATCCCGTAAGGGACACTCCCTAGTTCTCTGTAAAGTAAAAATAAGTGAAATACAAGTCTTAAAAATAAGTATTTCAGACTAACAAGATTCTGTTACTGTAAGCTTACAAATAAATATTAGTACTCATGGCATTGGTTTTATGACTGGACTACCTCAAAGGACTCCCCCCCCCCTTTTAAGTATTTATAAATAATAATATAGTTAAGATTTTGATCTTAAGCTAAAAGATTTGTAGTCTTCTTCAAATAACTTAATACAATTCTTTCTGTTATGATCAATATTTCATTAGTGTTATACTGAGAATTAATGGTATAACTTTACTGATTTTTATTGTCCACATTGATATATTCCAAATGTATGTCTTTGTTTTAAAGTAATAAAAGAAAAAAGAATAATTATTTGTATAATGCAAATGAATTCTTTTACATCTATTTGAAAGGATGCATATGTTAAACATTAATGATAAGAGTTAAATTAGAATCCATAAGAAAGATGAAATTGTTTATGAAAACAGTCTGAGCCAACAAATTCTGCATATACTGAAGAATAAATAAATAAACCTCAGTTGAGGGAAAACTTACTTCCAAGTAAACTTGCAGTGGACTATACCTCCGGATTTTCTCCTCACACAAAAAGAGAATCTCTCATTTGTGATGGAGACTTACTGGTTATTTTTCTTTTGCCTTTATTTCCTTTTTTAGTAGGTCACCCATTCCTGAAGCAGGATAGGAAGAGGGTCATCTTTAAATTTTTAAACCTTTCAACTTTGATACTGGAGAAGACTCTTGAGAATATGGTGGGCAGTCAAGAAACAAACTGATGGATCATCTCACAGATCAATCCAGAAAGCTCACCAGAGGCGCAAATGACCAGACTCATGTTATTCTATTTCAGACACATTATGTGATGATTTAACTCTCTGGAGAAAGCTCTAATGCTGGCAAAAGTGGAAGGACAGAGAGGACAAGGGTGACCAGCAGCAAGGTAGATGGCCACAGTTATAGTTGTGATGAGTTCACTGTTGGAAGACCGAAAAAGACCAGGTGATGGTTGCATTGTCATGGAGACAAGGGAACTGAAAACAATTTGATGGCACATAATCAACCAATCAATCAATCCTGAAGGCTCTGAGCTGCTAACAGTCAAAAAAATCTTCAAAAGAAGCTCTCCAAATATAAATTATCTGCCCAAAGCAATGATTGTTTTAAAAAAAAACAGTCTTGAAAAGGACAAAGCTGGAGGAGAAAGGCAGCCACTTCCATCTCTTTTAAGACTTTTGGTAAATAACTACCATCTATTTAATTCACTCTTTGCCATCAGCTAGTGTTATCTGCAAGCCGGATATGTTGGCCTTAGTAAAGAACCAAATATATGCTCTTTGATGATGGAAGCAAGAGAAGAAAGAATAGCAAATGGGTAGGTTGGAACAAGATGATGGAGCTGAAGTTCTATTGTATAAACATTCCAAGAAGGTACATTTAAGCAAAATCCATAAATAGGACTCACTCTTTTGCTATTCCCACTAGAAATAAACTAGTTTGAATAAATCTCCTTGCCCTCCCATCATCCACACATTTTTCTTCCTTTCTCAATAATTAATAGTTGTGCATGAAAATGTCACAAGAGCTTCCTGCACGTATCTCTTATTGCCTTCTTGTTTCCCTCCACAGCCTTGTTTGCCCTCTCACCATCCAAGTTCAAGGGGACTCAACAAAATGAAAGACTTGCTTCAAAACAGACAGGAGCAGAACTGCAGTATCAGAGAAAGGTTCTATCAAAGCAAAGATACCCTGTTTGGGATAGGTATATTTTTCTTGCATACATGATGATAGAGCTATATACATGGGTATCTTTGGGGAGTGGGGGGGATGTTCTGATCAAAAGCTTTGGCAGAATGTCACTAAAGTATTAAAACTCCAAAGAACAAGCTTGTTCATCAGAAAAAAGAACCGAAATACGATACCTGCTGCCTTCTGTAGCTTACTGTTTTTTTCCTACTTCCCTTCTTTTAAAGACAAAGAAAAGTTAATTCCAACATGCTTGAAGAAGACCACAGTAATATTAGTGCATAAAAATACATCTCTGTGTTGCTGCAAATGGTCCGAGAGGCAACCAATTGCTGAACTTTGTTAAATTGCACTTACCTGAACCATGAGCACAAAAAAGGAGGGGCAGTTTAATGACATCTAAGAACCTCATCACCACAGCTGGTCCTCCTGCTGGATGTTTTGGATGTTTAGTGATAACCCACTTCCATCGAAAACACAAAAATAATTCTAAACCATAACAGCTGGCACGCTAGTTGCAGGGAGAAGAGATTTAAGCCTTATCTTGCACCACTGTGAAGCTTTTTAGAGTACACTTCATTGATTTTCAGTCAGCTGTCAGAAGCTGCACGCAAGAATCCTACAAAAGGAAATTACCCCTGGGTCCTAAATTCTGCCTTGTTATTTGGATAATAACTGGGATTCTTCTGAAAGCCAAAGTTAAGCGAATTCAAAGAATAATCTTAGGCAACAGCAATCAAATAGGTGCTTGGTTTGAATTATCCTCTGTATGCTAAAAAATAAAGGGTGAAAAATCTAGATACCCTGTAGATAGTGGGAAGGAGGCAGGGAGAGAGGGAGGCGGGGCATTGTGCACCTGCTGACAGCTAATGGTCATCCAGATTTTTGCAGTCCATTTATGGAAGCCACAAAGCAGCGGTTCCCAACCTGTTCAGCTTATTGACCTCTTCAAAAAGTTTCAGATTGTTCATCAACTCCCAAACATTTATTATATGAATATAATTTAATAAAAACTACTTTAACTAATAGTACTATGGATGATGATGATGATGATGATGATGATGATGATGATGATGATGATAATAATAATAATAATAATAATAATAATAATAATAATAATAATAATAATAATAATAATAATAATAATAACAACACCCCAGACTTAACAATTGTCAGTAAGAAAGACAAAGAAGTCTAGATAGTGGATGTGGCAGTACCTTGAGCAGAATAGAAGAGAAAGAACTGGAGAAGATAACAAAATACAAAGACCTGCAAATAGAAATGGAATGATTGTGGCAAAAGATAGCAAAAGTACTACTAATAGTCCTAGGCGCTTTGGATGCACCACTTGAATATCATTGCCATTGACAAATTCACCATCAATCAATTGAAAAGGCAACTTTATTCAGGATCGCTTACATCCTACAACAATACCTCTAACACCATCAAACATCAACATCTGCCTATCTCCAGTCTTTAGGAAGGACTTGATAGATGGATAAAAAAATGCCAAATCCAGTTGGGACATCTGGCTGACTGTGCAATCAATCAATATAGCAATAGCACTTAGACTTATATATCGCTTTGCAGGGCTTTACAGCCCTCTCTAAGCAATTTACAGAGTCAGCCTATTGCCCCCAAACAATCTGGATCCTCATTTTACCCACGTTAGAAGGATGGAAGACTGAGTCAACCTTCAGTGTGGTGAGAGTTGAACTGTCAAATTGCAGTTAGCTGGCAGTCAGCAGAAGTAGCCTGCAGTACTGCACTCTAACCACTGTGCCACCATGGCTCAAAATAATAATCTGACTTTTTCCAGGTCATGGTGAAGAACTCAATTGGTAGTTAAAAATGCCAAAACCAATCTAAACATCTGGCTGACTATGCATAATAATTAAACTCAAAGCCACACTCACTGCAGTGACTGGCCAATCCTATCTCACAACTAGCCATCTACCTTCAGGAATAGGGACTGGTGTGGAGCTCTTCAGAGATCCAAAAAAGATTAAATGACCTTAAACAACCTTCCAATATTTATTGATCATTTATTGACACCCCCTAGCCATTTATTGACACTGCCTTTTGATCCCCCCCCCCAGCCATTTATTGGTCCCTTAAATAGTCCCATCAACCATTGGGGGTTGATATTGACCACTGGGAAATCCTTCCATAGAAGAACATAAACATTTGGAGCTATCTGCATTTTATGGCATTGAATAACCTCTAATGAGATCTTGTGGGGACCGCCTAACAGGGGGGGAACCCCAGAGTTTGGCATAATATAAATCTCCCCAAAGAGCTGAATTTCAAGACCCTCAAGAGGATGTTTACAAGGAAGTCCTCAGAAGGGTCAAGAGAATGCTCCTCTCTAGCATTGCTAACTTCTTGGCTTATTATTTATTTATTTATTAAATTTATTTGCCATCAACTATCAAAGTGACTCTGGGCGGTTTACACAGTGGTGGGATTCTGCTGGTTTAACAACCAGTTCGGTGATTCAGATTCAGATTTAGTTTATTTGTATGGCGCCCTTCTCCGGGAGGGATCACACACTCCACACGCATGCACAGTTTTAAGAATACTTACCTTCCGCATTACCGTTGGGGAGTAACACAGCTGAGCCACGGCAGTCCACTCTGCCACGCAAATCAGCTGAGAAGATATAGGTCAGTATAGCACAGGAGCAGGCAGGCAGGCCCACCTGATCGTCAGAGCTACCGATTCCCCTGAACTGGTCCAAACCAGTAGGATCCCACCTCTGGGCTTACAGTATTAAAATATTACAAATCCTAGCAGATAAATTTTTAAAATAATAAAAAAAAATAGAAATCACAGTCAAAATAAAATTACAGTTAAAAGATGGAGAGTAAGGGAACAGGAAGAAGTGGGATTGCCTCTTAATTCATCAACCACCTCTAGTCAGATGCTCCCTCACTGGGCGCCCAAGTCATCTGGCAGAACCAGGTCTTCAGGCTCTCACAGAAGTTCAGAAGGATGGGAGCCAATTTCACCTCTTTTTCTAAATTGACAGAGAAACTTATGAACTGGTTCCTAAAATTCTATTTGATTTCTTTTTTCCTTTTATTGTAAATGTTATAAAGTCATCTTGACATACAGCCATTCAAAGTTACAACACTGAAAAATTTGACTTACAACCGGTTCTCGCACAACCAACACAGCATCCCCAAAAGCAAACAAGTATTGAACTTTACAGTCAAAATTGAGTATAATATTTTTTTAAAAAAATAGTTGCATTTCATATTAGACTAGTAGTTATGTGACAATTGTTTTGGTCAGAAATGAATTAATTAATATTAAGATCTCCAGTCTATTATTAATTAGGGAATATATTTAATTATACCTCAATTTTTAACATTTCTCAGATGAAAACAGGGATATAATTGTAACCTGAGTATAAGTATCACTCCCAATTAATATATGAGCCCCTGTTATATATCAGCAAAATTTGTTTATTTTGCAATGCCTAAAGAGTAGATGTGTTTATCTGATTAAAGATTTTTAAAGAAAAAAACTGTCCTGAATTACCAAAATATTTGAATCCAAAGTTCAAAATCCATCTCAGCAGCTGCACCCTGTTGAAAACAAGAAGCTATGAAAAATGACATATTTCCTACATGCACTTACACACACGAGCACAGAAAAATAAAATCTGCATTTATTCCATTTACACGTTGCAACTTTGCATATAAACTTCTCATATGTCAACTTCACTGAGTTCAGCCCAATAGGACTTAACACTCAAGCCCAGAGGACTGTAGCTTTAAAAGCCTCTGAGAAAACACAATTTGAACAAACATCCTCGGGAGGCAAAAAGAACATCAGGGATGGGGAAATAAGGACAGCTGGAGAACATGAAATAGCTGTCCAGAGAAACCAGGAACTGTAATATATCTGCCTATAGCAATGTGAGAAATAGGAGAGAAAAGTCTACAAACTGGTAAAATAAAGAGGCTGATTGGGAAGCATGAAAATATGTGATAATAATGGTGGCTCAGTGGGTAATACACTGAGCTTGTCTATCAGAAAGGTTGGCAGTTCAGCTATTTGAATCCTTAGTGCCATGTAACGGAGTGAGCTCCCATTACTTGTTCCAGCTTCTTCTTCCAACCTAGCAGTTCGAAAATGCAAGTAGAAAAATAGGGACCACTTTGCTGGGAAGGTAACAGTGTTCCATGTGCCTTCGGCATTTAGTCATGCCGGCCACATGACCATGGAGATGGCTCTTCGGCTTTGAAATGGAGATGAGCATCGCCCCCTAGAATTGGGAATGACTAGAACATATGTGAGAGGAGAATCTTTACCTTTACCTTACAATTATGTAGTCAATGGGAGTCAAAAACAAAACAAGGTACATAAGCAATGAATCAGTCATATCACCAAATATGGTTTCCTTGCGTCTGACAGGGGTAAAATTAAAAAAAGATCAAACAATCACAATTTAGCTCCTTTAATCAAGGAAGGTCCCCTTCAGATAAATATCATAAATAGAATCCAATTATAATCTGTTGTTGTTGCTTGTGGGTTTGTTAATTAATACTTTATTGTACATATTGTTAAGCAAGTAAGGAACTTAAACACACACACTGGGGCAGTTTACAAAACTAAATGGAAAAGAGAGGAAAGGGAAAGGAAAAGAGAAAAAGAAGACAGGAAGTTATCCAGGGAACTCTGTCCAGACCAGTAGCCCCACAAGCCAATTCAATATACCATAGTTCAGACTGGCAACTTGGTTGTTAAGCAAAGTGGTTGTTAAATGAAATGGCGACCATATTTATGAACTTATTTCAGCTTTCCTTTGCTTTACAGACCTGCAAAATCTGTAAAGGCGAGAATGGGTCATAAAGTTAATTTTTTTTTATCACTGTCAAAATTACAAATGGTTGCTGTCCTAGAAAGTGGCTAAATAAGGATTATCCATAACTTGCAAGCTGTTGTAACTTCTGAAGGGTATCAGCTAGACAAAAAGTGATGTCAGGATTTGAAATTACAGCATCAATACACATATAGTTCTCAGAAGCAAATCGGAAAGGAACTACGTAAGGATAAAGAAGCCATAGAGGAGAAGTCAATAACTATTTCTAAGCAGCAGTCAAAGATAATGTATTATAACATATTATAGTCCACCATGCCATCCTGTTAGTTTCATCACTGATAAAATGAGTGGTGCTAGAATTTGGTAGTCATTTTAACCTTTGGCTGAGTTAGGACATTTTTAGATTAGAGAACTGAAAAAGAAATGATGTGCCCTAGCAATTCAAGGAGAAAAGTCAGGTTTTATTCCAATTTCTAGAAAAGTTTGAGAGACTTTAAAGATGTTTGAAGTTCGATAGGCCTTGGATTTCCAGCCAAAGCTATAAAATATTCTTGCACTCAAGAAAACAACCTTTTGTTCTGAGCTTCCGTTTGGTGGCCTTG